AGTTGATTAAACATTCAGATTATCACTAAATTTAACTAACATTTTTCATTATCCGTTGGTGGTTATGAATTTATGTGCTTTTTTCTTTTCGATTTCGAGGGTGATGCTATTTATTGAGTTCATCAGGACGAAAGTCCTAAAGATATCCTTGTTATTTCTATTTCATATTGAGTTGATGGTGATGCTATTTGATGTTTAACTCAAGTAAATATGCATTTCATGAACCCTCGTAGGGTCCCTCCTGCTTGTAGATTGCCACTAATAATGGATACCCTCCGATTTCTTATATTTATTTGCAGATCAGATCATGTATTGTTTATCTTTAATTTTTGTTAGAGATTCAATCCCACTAGAGCCCCAACTTATAACTAGTGATCCCGGGACAAAGAGAGATTTGTGAGTTTTGGCTCAAGTGACAAGGTTGAAATGTGATCAAGATCATCTGGACTCAATCTCTACCCATCATAATTGTGTAATAATCCTGTCAATATATTCATACAAAAAAGTGGCTCTTGATGAGAGGTGGCAAAGCGAAATAAAAGTTGCACTCCATCCTTGACAGAGTTTGGGGTATGAATCTTAGATTTTAAGTGCACATCATTCTTGACAGAGTTGATATGTTAGGATATTGAGCTTAGATTTTAAGTTTTAATTCTCAAGTTTTTGGCCATGTTCCAAAACCAGATAGTGAACCTAAAACTTAGGTGAGAAACGGGTGTACATCGAAATTTACACTAGTCGCAATTGGCCAACGACACTGATTGGCAATGGCAGCTAGGCACATCCGTTCCATAAGAAAGAATGAATCTGGCGCAGGAAAAAATTTAAATTTAAAATTTGAAATAAATAACTAAATAAGGGTATAGCCGAACGGCTATACTATTTAAATATATTATTTAAGGACTTTTTGAATATATTATTTAAGTAGTATAGCCGGATGGCTATACTATTTATTGATATAAAAAAAAGGACCCGCCTAGGCGGCCCATTTTTAGAAAACTTGAATAGCGTAGTTTTTTCTTTCAGATTTCCTTCTTCCTGGCGGGTCTGACATCTCTGCAAATACATCAAGCTGGGGTTTTGGCGAAAGAGTGAGAATGGGAGCTGGTACAAAGGAGTTTTGGCATTATCCATACCTTTGTTTCCTCGATTGAATTTCTTAGTTCCCGCAAGCTTATTGTCCCTTCTGTTGATTTTTCAGGTGATAGGGTTCCATTCACTGCACCAGAAGTAAGGTTATGCATCCCAGATGCGACTTCCTTTTGCATTTTCAGATTCACTAGTTTCCTTCTACTCTCCTCTAGTTCAGTCATGCTGTCATCCAGCTCACCTGTCACCCATAACAGAAAATTTACATATTCAACACAAAATCAAAAGGTGGCATCACCAAACAGTGGTAAACTTTCAGACTTACCTCTGTCAGAAATTGAGCAAAGTTCCTAAATCTATAGGTCTTAAATATGATGCTGAATCTTTACATGTACTGCCACGAGCCTTAGCTCAAGTGACATGGGTTGGATGGGCTGAAGTGTAGATCCTAGGTTCAAATTTTCTTGTAATACGAAAAAATGAAAAAACAAAAACAAAAACTACATAAGTGCCGTCAGTAATCAAGTGTAGGATTAAACATTCCTACTAAATATGCAAATAAAAAACCAAGGCTTGTGACTATAACCATCTCAGAAACCTGTAATGCGGCTAATTTCAGACTGATCTGTTCGACTGGCTGCTATGGTAAGTCCGAATTACATCAGCATACTCTTTCTGCTTCACGTGAAGAATATCAATCGCTTCCCGCAGATTTTTAACCTCCCTCTCCATCATATCATCAATCTTAGGTAACTTGATGATAGCATCTGAGAATCACAACAAAAACAAAGAACCTATAATCAGTACATAATTCCTCACGCACTTACTCCTTCAAAAATAGGTGTTAAAAAATGAAAAAGTTATTGTATGAAATTAGTTTGTACAACAATGAATTTACAATTGAACCTCTGACCTTCAGAAGATATCTTTCCAGCCAAAGTGTGGACCATGCTCTCTGTTTTTTCCCTATGAGAATAAATGGTATGTTTCAAGAGTTTTAACAACTCCCTAGTAGACGTATGACGCAAAGTGAGAGCTTCTTCAACATATTTAGCAATTTCATCATTGCCATTAGCTTCTATAGAATCTCTTTGTAGGAGTCTACAAAGAAACATCTCCTCCGCAGAACATGATGGAATTGAACCTGAAAAACACACTGGTAAAACTAATCTATATGATGTGAAGAATAAAATAAAATGAACACTAAAATTTTGATTTAGTCATCAGAAAAAATTAGGAGAAAAAAAGATGAAGTAGCATAAAACAACACATGTGCTGTAAAATACCACGAGAATAATCAGCGCCATCTAAAATTTGTAAAGCATTTTGGCTTCCTCCAGCACATAGTCCAAGAAGAATTAAATCATCAACCAACTGGTCAGAAAAATAAAGAAATCACCATCAGAAAAAATTACATGTCATCCTGGTGGACACAATTGAGACCGTGAAAAGGAAGAAAACCAAACCAAACATTCAAGATAACCTGATTCCATATTTGATTCACTGTGATTAGCATTTCATCATAAGAACCTTGCTTATCCTTTAGTTCCTTAATTTTGGCTTCAAGATCCTGCAAATCATGCTTCTGTTTGTCTATTTGCTGAAGAAGTCTCTGGTTCTGGTACTGGAGAACTGCTGCATCGACCTGGGCACGTATAGTATGTACACAAAATACCGATACATTTCAATCTACTTCCTATCTCTAATCAAAATTGAAGTGTACTTGAAATGCATTGAACATTCAATGTGCACTCATCTAAATGCATGCTTTTTTATGAAAAAGCATACTAACTTCAGAAGTGACTTCATCAACTTAGAGATTAATGATGCTTTACTGCCCCAATTACACAATTACTAAACAGAAACCCTCTAACCTACACCCTATACTCCAAAAATTCCATTTCTGTAACTTATATCCCTTTTCTTACACTTCCTCAACAACCAAACAGAGCATAGTACAATTTTTCACATCCAAAGCAGAAATTGCCCAAACTCCAATCACCCATCAATCACAGTAATTTAAAAAAAAATAAAACACCTTTTTTTTCTTAAACCAAAAAATTTGATCAAAAGCATTTTTCCATCAGTAACCAAGCAGACTGTAAATAAATAAATATATATATATATATATATATAGAGAGAGAGAGAGAGAGAGAGAGAGAGAGAGAGGGATTACGCTATGGTTATTGGGTGGAGAAGTGGTGGAGCTACGAGCCATGGTGGGCGAAAGTGAGTTTAAATAAGGCCTCTTCTTCTCTTGCTCGTCAGAGTCTGAGTTTAACATTTATCGTTGTTATGGTGCTCTTTACGGAACCCACCGCACCATTACACCTATCAGGTTCCGAGCTCTTTCTGTCAAAAGAAAAAACCCTACAAGGACTGATAGCGTTTCCGCAGGCACGACTGGGAGTGGGAGAGAGAGATCGCTGTCGACACGACTTCGTTGAGAGATCACGAGGAATTCATTTACTATCGTCAAAATGAAATCTATAATAAATTTCAGCCCAAAATCAAGTTTTATGTCAAGGGTATAGCCGGCGGCTATACTATTTTTATAATGGCTATACTATTTTTATAATAAAAACTCTAGTATAGCCGCTCGGCTATACATGTTTTTAAATAAAAATCCGCGTATAGCCGCTCGGCTATACTATTTATAATTAAAAAAAGACCACCGCCTGGCTTCTAGCGCTACTTCGCCACGTGTCAAAAAATCCAAGTACAGCCGAACGGCTAAAAATAAGACCACCGCCTGGAGACTTGCGCCTGTTCCACGTGTAGAAAAGGTATAGCTGCGCGGCGATACTGTTCTTCACTATGCTATATATTATTTAAAGAGTATAGCCGCAAGGCTATACCATTTTTTTTTTCTTTTTTTGAAAAAGGTCCCGCCTAGGCGGCCGATTTTTGGAAAACTTGAGTGGCGTTTTTTTAATTTAGATTTCTTGTTTCCTGGCGGGTCTCACTCTCTATTTTCTGTACACAAATCTATTGAGGGTTTAGACAAGATGGGAATGGATTTAATAGAAACTGGAAATCCAGATGCATTCAAACAGTATCTGTCGGAGTTTGATAACACCATTCATTTGTAGAGGATCAGTAACTTGGGGATTATTTTATGTCTTGTGAGTTTTGCTACCATAATTGGAAAGATTTTCTTTTTAGTTTCTCTTCCTGTTGGTTTGAATGGTCTGATTGTGAATTTGCTACAATGTTATAAATGCGGGGTCAAAACTTGGCTGGGAGAAGGAGCTTTTGAGGAATTATTGTATGCTGTTTCTATCTCTCTACATTTTTGCACTTTCCTTATCAACAAGGGGGAGAACACTCTCAACCCCACATTGCATATTATTTTAAAATTTCTGTGATAATATGCTTGTTTTTGTGCCGGGAAGATTGGTTGTTCTTGCAGGTACCTTCACTGTAACACCCCGACCCCAAATTTGCCCCATGTTTTAATTTATTTAAGTGGAGTTGAGAAATTATCCGTGGGATAGGGGTATTTTAGTCATTTTATTATCCGGAAGGAATTTGAGAATTCTGGTTGTACCGTTGCGTAGAGCACGGTGAGATGAGTCTGTAGACAGGTAGTGGGCTCGAATCGGAGTTGTAACGAGAGAGATATGGTCAAATGAAGCTCAGTAGCATAATCGTAAATATTTTGAAGTGGGTTTTTGGTTAAAAGACGGAATTGCCCCCGTCACTCTCTCTCTCTCCCCCGCGCGTCTCTCTCTCTCTCCCCGACGGCAGCTTCTCTCTCTCTCTCTTCGAAACTCCGGCCACCGTCCATGGCAGCGGACGGGAACGGGGCCCAAAGGACCGGCACCCCGCCGTCAAGACCTGGCCATTCCCCGACATCGGCCGCCGCTCCAGTCGCTAGAAAATGCAGGTTTTTGGCCAGTTTTGGGCCCGAAACTTCGCCGGCTCGATCTCCCTCCTCCGGCCACCATTTCTGGTGATTGAGGTATGGATTCCTACCTATTTTTCATGATCTAGCTGATGGTTGGGTAGGATTGCATCAATTTTGAGTGAAGATCATCCGATTTTCGATTTAGGTTTCGGCCGGGTTTGCGATTGCGATTCCGGCCACTTCCTGTCAAATTTTTG